ACGTGTCTCACTGTATTCCTGTTCTTCACAGCTAGCAGAACTCTCAGGTGTTCGAAGAAGAATTTTGGTTGCCACTCCCTCCCATAATTTTTGAAACTTTAAAAATTGTTATCTTTGTTAGACACTAACCGCAGGTGGCTACTGAGTCACCAAAATGTGACAGGTTCAAGTTAAGATGTGCTATAAGTTTTAAAAAATAAGAAAGCACACATATTAAAAAAAAACATTTTTGGGAGAAATAATGTAAAACATTATAATATGTTAAAGCAGTCAATGTTGAAATAATACATTGCATACAATGGGTTAAATACAATGATACATTTTTTAAAATATACAAGTTCTAGCCTTCAATGAGTGGAGCAAGAAGGCATCCAGAAGGAAGGCTTTGGTGTTCTCTGCAGCAGGGAGCCTGTGACATGCAAATGCATCTGACTTCAGTGCTCAGCTCTTGAGAGTCCTTCTCCCTGTTTCTTTCTCTTCCAGTGTTCAGCAGAGGAAATGTTCATCTGGGGGATGGGAGTTAACCCAGGGCCCAGAGCCTCCTTCTACCATGCATTGCACTATCAGAATCTGTACTTATTTAGATCGCTGGTGGGTAGTAGAGAAAATAACATTTGTCTAATCAGCTTAGTCATCATTTTGCTTTGAGGAAAAAAAAAACTATTTGGAAAGGACACTTTTCTCCTGAGATGAATTTATCAGAGTCCTCCAGTGAACCACTGTATTTGTTGATAATGTCTACGAGAGATACTTGAGGAAAGATAGTAAAAGAAGAAAGTGGATAGGACAGGGAGAAGGAGGGGAAAATAGAATTATGTAACTCAAGGTAAAGTTTTATCTAAGTCTGTTTTACACTAAGTGGATCTCACAGACAGAATGACTTATGAAGCAAGAAGTGTTATCCTTTCATGGTTTAGAGGCAAGGAGTTCATAGGCCAGAATTTTTATTTTAGTTTTTTTTTAATTTTATTTTATTTACTTACTTATCTATTTATTTTGCCCGTGGGTGAGGACTCTAGATGGAGGCAGTATAAACACCTCATAGCAAGAAGGGTATTTGAAAGGAATAGATCTGATTGAGATTTTTGTGACAGACCCATAGTAAAGATAATCATTAACCCACTAATCCACAAATTCATGAACCATTAAACCATTCACTAGTCACCTCCTAAATGCCCCACACTTTAATACCTCACAGTGGGAATAAAGTTAAAACATGGATGTTGGTGGAGACAGGTAATCTTTAGCAAGTGGTGGACTAGAAGTCTGAGCTCAACAAACACTTAGAAAAAAACACTTAAATTCATGTCTAGATTATCATAGATAACCTAATTAATGTAATATAAAACAATAACAAAAATTTAGGAAAATCATGTTTAGAGTTGTAGCCCTTTCTGTAAAATATAGCCTGCCCTATAAATTAAATGAACACAGATGAAAACATAATAAGAAATTTAAATTTCTTTTATGTCTATTTTTTCCTTTACTTGTTATCAATCCGATAATTGAAAATTTTCTCCATTTCTTTGGTTTTCATTTCTTTCAGTACTTTTTATTGTTTGTTGCTAGTAAAATACATTTAGTTTTTTGATCATATGAACTATTATTTCTGTATTTCACTGACTTCAAATTAATGTTACTTTCTTAATCTCTTAAAATTGTATTACAACATGCAGCAATACAAATGAACTAATCCACATAAACATCAATAAATAACTACATATAGCATATGAGAATCACTGACTAGATAGATAGACATAGATACAGATATAGACATAAAACCAATGTTTTATGTGGTTAGGAATATGTATGAAAAATATAGAAAAATATGTAAGAAATTGGCACCATCATGTAGACAAGGTCAAATTCTACTGAAAAACTTTATTGAAAAACCCTCTTAAGAAAGCTTGATTTTTACACTAAACTCTGTGAATTGTGTGGCCAGGTAAAGGCCGGGTCCTAGGTCTTCTACAGACTATTTGCAGGAATGTCTATATATCCTTGGTTGACTAGGAACTCACTGCGTAGTGCAGCCCACATTGAACCCATGGGCCATGATCATGTCTCTGCCTCCTGAGTACTGTTCTGAGCTGCCATGATCAGCTCTATTTCTGTCCTCCAATATTTCTCCATAGACTATTTGTAACACAATAAAACATTACTTGCATAGGTAATTCAGTCAACTACATTTTAACTTTAATTAGAATCTATGGTTTGTTGAAATGTTTAAATTAAACATAAAATAGTGTTAGTAGAATAATTAATTACTATCAGTTAGTTTCTTTGTAACATGGGATGGAATATCCAATGTTCAAATATTAACTCAAAGTTCTGAAAATAGAGAAAATCATTTTTACAAGTCAGATAAAGATTCTCCATGATTTCTTATCTGATAAATTTCTTCTCAATATATGTGTAGACAGGATAAACCAGGGGTAGAGATCACAGGTACAAATGCAGAAGTGGAGATCAAATATCATAACCATTCCCTTATAACCTGAGAAATTATTGACAGCATGTATACCAGAGAAATATATCTGTCACAAAAAATCAAACTCCTGACCGGGCAGTGGTGGCACACACCTTTAATCCCAGCACTTGGGAGGCAGAGCCAGGCGGATCTCTGTGAGTTTGAGGCCAGCCTGGGCTACCAAGTGAGTTCCAGGAAAGCCACAAAGCTACACAGAGAAACTCTGTCTCGAAAAACCAAAAAAAAAAAAAAAAAATCAAACTCCAGATGCTGGCTCTCTTTACCCTACAGGGAATTAAGAGTTTAGACCAATGTTTTAACTGTAGTCTCCTGAATGAATTAATTAAGGCAAATGATATATTTTCTAAACACCCATTCATCCTTTTATTCACCACTCTCCCTCCAGCTCTCTACGCTGCAAGTATTGTTGTCCCATTTTGCCAAACATCATAACAAAGTTAGAAGTGCAGGGAGAAGAGGTCACATGAACATCTAGAAAGGAAGACTAGGAGTTTGATTTTTTATGACAGATATATTTCTTTGGTATACATGCTGTCAATAATTTCTCAGATTATAAGGGAATGGTTATGATATTTGATCTCCACTTCTGCATTTGTACCTGTGATCTCTACCCCTGGTTTATCCTGTCTACACATATATTGAGAGGAAATTGATCAGATAAGACATCATGGAGAATCTTTATCTGACTTGTAAAGGTTAAAAGTTAAAGGTTCTACCATATCAGCACTGTAACCCTGGACATCAACCTCGAGCACATGGACCTTGAGGTTCAGGTCATATTCAAACAGTAGCATATGCATTCTCTGCTATCAATATGCCAGACTTTTTTCTAGGAATATAGAGATAGAAATTTCTGCAGGAAATTTTGCTGGACAATGAAATTTATTTTCTCAAGATATTCTACTTTATTACAGGGAATATGAGTTTGCAGATATTTTCATAATCTTTAGGTGAATGCAGTGTGTTTTTTCCTATTGAAATTTTTACATGTTCCTGAATGTCTTCAACATTCTTGCTTTTAATGCTTTGTCATTTTTATATTCTGAAAATACCATCATCCACATTTGTACTCATGTTGTACTTAAGTCATATATAGAGGAAAAAATGCTTTTAAAATGGCATTGTTCACAGTCTCAATGTTTATGATGACTCATTTTGTAACTCTATACAGCAGCTTTCACATTTATTCAGTTAAGAACAAGGGTCACTACTACAGTTTTGAGGAAGGTATAACACAGTGAGTTCTTCTCCAGCCTAAAAGCTAAGGAAAGCTTCACTAAGAATTAGGACATGGAGAAAGGTGTTGGCATGTGAAGATCCCAGAGCTAAGGAAACTCAGTAGAGGTTTTGGAACTATGTCAAATTTTAGTGCTTTGCAATATTTGACTTCTAATTGATAAACACTTGAGTTCATTGTTAAAGTCAGAACTGTTCATTACTAGGAAAGGTCATCCAAAAAATACATTCACTGATATATTTATGGCGAGCAGGATGAAAAAGGAGAAATAATTTTTCATTCAGACTACAGCAATCAAAATAGTGAGTATGATACTCTAAACTTTATGTATTATGTTACTTTAGGTTCATTATTTAAAAAGAGATTAAATTATTTAGACCTTGGGTGCAACATGATTGCTGAATTTTACGACCTTGATTTTATTGATAAAATTATTGTGCTAATGTGTATCTTTCTTTTTTCCAGCTTATCTGGCATCTTGATTTAGAGAGCTGAACAAAAAAAATTAAATGAAAGAAAGATCAGAAGCTATATCCTGTGCTCGGGACAGGAGCAGGGACACTATCTGTGGGGTCCATTTCTTCTATCAACCTGAATTGACAAATATATGATTATTAAAACTGTGTGTACAGAGTAGCACTTTAAAGTAATACTTATAGGAGGTGGAAAAGAGATGCTTATTACTCATGTTTGTGTTTTTTAAAAAGCATGTATTTTAGAAATTCTAGTAACATTAGTGGAATATACATGCTCTTCACAGTTATGAAAGGAGGCCAAGATAGATGTGGTGGCCAGACAAGAGTCCTTGGTACTCAAAGCTTCAACATGTGAAAGCTCATTCACTCTGCTTCTTTTTATCAACCTGAGCTATCTTTTTCATTAACCTTTTTGACTGTCCTCATTCCACTGTTAAAACTAAAGTGCTCTGAATTAATTAACTTCTTTAAAGTCATTAATAAACAAATTATATGCTAATCTTGGTGCTTCAGGATAAGGAGGCATCAGTGATGTTTTATTAGCAAATGAGTGAGAAATATTTTATTTTTATGAACAGCTAAGGGAAAGACAGATAACTTATAAATAGTATAGTCAATTTTAATTTCATCTAAGCTGTTCTTTGAAAGGTATACAGTTCATCTAAGACTCATTATATAATATGAAAACTTTCGGTTATAGACGATTTCATATGGACATAATACACTTGCTATAAGCTGAGTTCATACTGTGCTGTTAGCTACTTCATGACAATAACTATTTCCCTGCAGGTTTAAAATGTGGTGGCTGCTGAGTACAATGTGCCTCATCCATGTATTTGGAAAGATATCTTGTTTATCTGCAATAAATATGAATCCTGAATCCCACATGAACGTTGTAAGCTACTCTTATCACTAATAAAATTACATGCATTTGCTTTATCTCTATGCGTTTCATTCATCTTTTCTGAATCATTGTATCTCTTACAATCTGAACATTTATGACTTCATTCCAAGAGGAAATTCTATTTTAAGAATTATGAAACATGACTGAGTATAAAAAAAGTCATGAAATTCATTACTGTGTGTTTTCTTTCCTAGAGTGAGATTATTATGTATTGGGGTTATCCAAGTGAAGAGTATGAGGTTGTGACTAAAGATGGTTACATCCTCCCAATTAACCGCATCCCTCATGGGAAAAACAACACTAATAGTTCAGGTAAGATCTGAGTGAGGTAAATATTGAAGCATCCTGAGTAAATGACACTTTAAGCAATGACTACCTAAATAGTTACCTTCAAATTGAGTAATTTCAAAAGAGCAATTGTAGCTCCTTGACTCCCATAGTTAAAGTTGGGGACTTAATGGAGCCTGGTTTCCATTTGTCACTGTGAAGACTGAGATTCTGTAGGAAAGACTATTCTTTTGCACAGTTAAATATTGATTAATGTTAACTGACATCATAAGTAAAATGAAGTCTTAGCACATTCCTGTTCACTAGCTTCAAAATCTTTTCAGTTCCATTGTGATTATTTGAAATTTGTTGCTTTCATGTTCAATAACACTAACATAAAACATTTTTATGATTGTTTTTGCAGCCCCAAAGACAGTAGTATTTTGTCAGCATGGCTTATTTTCAACTGCTGGTGTGTGGGTTTCCAATCCTCCCGACAACAGTCTGGCCTTCATTCTAGCAGATGCTGGTTATGATGTATGGATGGGGAACAGCAGAGGAAATACCTGGGCAAAGAAACACTTGTACCTAGACCCAGATTCTAAAGAATTTTGGGCTTTTAGGTAGGAAAAAATTCCATGTAACTTTACTTTTGCCTTAAAAGAATGTCAAATATTTTAATGGTTGAATAAATCTGTGTAACTAGATTGAAGGCATTTCACTTGGGGTGATATTTTAGAAGATTGATTTGGATGACGTAGTTTAGGACTTTATGTATTATGGTTACTATGCTTAATAATTATAATAAAATTCTAATTTTAATCCTATTTTTTCTACTCTCGAAATACTAATTGTTTTTCAAATCAATCCACTTATTTTAAGAATTATACCTCTCTCTCTCTTTTTCTCTCTTCCCGAGTGCATGTGTGTGTGTACAAATGCTTCAGTGTGTATTTGGAGGCCAGAAAACCAGGCTCTCTTCTGCAACCATGTTAGTACTGGTGATTAAACTCAGGGCAACTGGCTCGGGAAAAGGTGCCTTTGTTCACTGAGTCATTCACAGGCCTCGTCCATGTCTTTATAAAAATTTTTATTGAAGTAAATTTGATATATTTAAACATTAAAACAGGGCTGGAGACATGGCTCAGAGGTTGAGTACTGGCTGTTCTTCCAGAGGTCCTGAGTTCAAGCATCTGTAATGAGATCTGGTGCCCTCTTCTGGCATGCAGGCATACATGCAGGCAAAACACTGTATACATAATAAATAAATAAATCTTAAAAAAATAAAATAAAACAGTAAAACAATGATTTGGAAAATGTAGAAGTATGCATACAGCCATCCTCCATTACTTTTTACTTTGAGTGTGTATCCTGATTGTGTGTGTGTGTGTACATGCTTGTGTGTATAATACATGTGTATATTCATGTCCATGTGTTTGTGTGAGGATCAGAGCACAAATTCAGGTGTAATTCCTTAGACTCACTGTCCAACCTTGAAATCATTAAGTAGAAAAGGCTGGCTGGTCAGCCAAACGCCTGTGATATGTTTATTTCTGCCTCTACATTGCTGGAATTTCAGGCACAGACCAGTATACTTGACTATTTTATTTGAGGTGGGTTCTGCAAATCAAACTCTGACCTCAATTGCTTTCCAAATTGAACTACCTCCTCAGCCTGATGCTATTGATGTTTTGTGATTGGAAGGAGTAACAGGCAAGGGAGAAAAGACAAGGGTAAAAGTACATATAAGTACTTTGGGTCACAGAGTACTAGAATATCTCCTGGAGTTTATTCTTATCAATCTGCTTAAACAAGTTCCTTCACATTTACATCATTGTACCTCTAACAACCGTTCTCTTTCCCTCTCCCATATTCTCTCTCTCTCTCTCTCTCTCTCTCTCTCTCTCTCTCTCTCTCTGTTGGGGACTGGGGGAGATTTTATGACTTGCTTCCCAATCTTAAATAATATGATGTTCATATGGAGAACCTAGGATTTTAGAAATTTGGCTCTAGAGCAAAGGTGCTCTGAATTAGTCTTAACTATTTTCACTGTGGACAGAGCAATGCTAGCTTAATTCTGTGCCATGTGTACAGTTGTAGAAACATATCATGAGAAATCTGTGAACATGGAGAAATGATGCTTATAAGGTGGTACCATAGTAAATATGCAAGGAATAATTGATTATTGATACCATTTGTATCATATAGACTCGATAAAGACATCATTTGAAACAGAAATTATTTACTTATTGGTTAATAACTGGGTCACATTCTGTCCATTTTTTCCATGCAGTTATGATGAAATGATAAAATACGACCTTCCAGCTACCATTAATTTCATCCTGAAGAAAACAGGACAAAAGCAGATTTACTATGTTGGACATTCTCAAGGCACCCTTATCGGTATGCTAAAATTTTATCCTGAAGAATAAAAATATATATGCATAATTTGCAACTGTTTGTAAAATACAGACAAGCTTTTTGACAGCTGATAATAATTGTAACCTGCTTTTAAAACACCAAATGTTGAAACTAGTTTCTAACACACAAGTTATTTAAATGAAGTGCATGTGCGAGATACCTCTAATTTCTCTTTAGCCAGAATTTCTGAGACTAGTGACTCACTGTGTGTGTGGTACTCCTCATATGGCATTGTACATGTGGAATATTGGTGTGTCAATTCTGCTTAGGAAAAGTTTTATGAGTCTGACTTCACTGAGCTCTTAAGCTGTACTGTCTTGGTCATTTCTCAACAGCTTTTACTGGTATTGTTTGAGCTTGTACCAAGTATATATTTTCAAACAAAATGTAACAAAGGACAGATGGTTCCAACTGTCTGACTGCCAGGGAAGTATTTCTAATTCATGTATTTGTTCAATTTATGGTGCGATAGATGACTGATAGACAGATAAATTGATTGTACACAGGTAAGTAGATAGATTTGTATATATGTGTTCACCTGCACAGGTGGACTGGAGCTGATACAGAGAGGACTTCTGAAGACAGAAATGACAGAGATTATAAAATCAGTATGTGACCTTTTGGGTCTGTGTCTTCTCCAAAAGTTAGGGAAGAGTTTAAGAGTGCTCAGCAGATCCTTAAATATGGTCAGTCTGGCTACTCAAATATGTGAGCCAACAGTCAGTAAATAATAAGCAGAACAATTCACAGTCAGTGTGGGAGAAAAAAGCAAATTGAATGGAATTTTAAAACTCTAAAGTCATAGCACTCTGGTAAGCAAAGTAAGGGAAATCTCCAAGGCCAATTTTAAATATCTGACAAAGGGCAGGCATAAGCTCTGTAGAATAGCCTAACCATCCAGACAATTTAAAGGAGGAGGGAACAGAAGCAAAATAATCTCTTTTTATTTCTTTCAGCTCTGGGGGCTTTTGCAACAAATCAACAACTGGCTGAAAAGATTAAAAAATCTTTTTTACTGGCTCCAGTTGCTACTGTTGAATATATCAAAGGCACCGGGCGCCTTCCATCTTACTTCACTCCTACGGCTTTTAAGGTTTGTGGTGAACTCACAGTGGTGTTAAACTTCAAAATTAGCTTGTTAAAGAAGAGATCTGCCTGTACGGTCCAGTGCTGACTCACCTGGATAGCCTCACTCGAATGGCTACAGTGAATCTCACCGCAAATTTGGGCAGCCTGAGTACTGTCTTACGCACTTTCTCTAGAATGATAGTATTTTTCTTTTATCTCTGCTTCTCACTGATTTAATTTTTCACCGTTGAGAATTTCATACATTAATGCTGTTAGTGTCAGTGTTTTTATAGTTTTACTCATTTAAAACTCTTTGTGTGGACCTGTTTTCATATTATAAGCATACACCAAAATTTCCACGTCCTGTTTAACTTAGCAAGCCTGCCAGTCATTAACCCTGAGTAACTTCTCCACAAGATAGAAACTGAGACTGCTGGCAAACCACAATGCTCATGATTCTCAGAAGTTTTTATTCAATTGAAACTGATTTAAAAAAAAAAAAGTCTAGTACATTTTATAGGATGCTTCTTCTCAAATTATGTACTGATTGTCATAATAATAAACTAAGCCAATCTACCATTCAGTAACATGCTATAGCTTTGTTCTATGCCTTTCACTCCCTATAAACTTTGTGCTTTCTACTACACAAAACACTTTCCCAGACTAAGAGCTGCTCTTCAAATTTGTCAATTTCAGCTCCTTTTTGGTGAAAAAGAGTTTTTACCCACCGCTGCTTTCAGTAAGCTGTCCGGATACACATGCAATGTTATGGTAATCAACACTGCATGTGCTGCTCTATTAGGATCACTGGGCGGATATTCCCCGGGGCAATTAAATAAGGTATGTGACGTTTTCTTTCAAATTCATTGTTTTTTCATGCAGATGAGATAACAAGTCTATATGGCAATGAATCTTTAATTCATTCAGTATGATCTGTGTTAAAGTCAAGATGTGCTTTGCATACAATTCCCAAGTTATCAACATAGAAAATCTGGTATACACCACATATAAATGAATAACTGGGTGTCATGCATGAGCAAGTTTCATCTTTTTCTTCTACTCACCTTGGTTTAATGCATCTGCTGTCACTCATCTGTAACTGATCATCCAGTTCAGCACTTCTGTTTCAGAACTAAGGATATTTCCACATAAACTATCATATAAAACATCAATCATTAACAAAAGGAAATTCTTTGAGAAGACAAGTAAATAAATTGACTCATATTTTTAAGAGCTAAACTCTGCTTAATATTTGACCTTCATAGCATGTTACATTCTTTGAACAATTTAACATCAAAATCCACAAAATATATGTTTATAGTGATTCTTAAGACAACTAGAGTTTGGGTTGCTTCATCCAGCCTTAATATGAGGGGAGGTGCTTAGTCTTATTGCCTTGATCTGTCCTGTTTGGCTGATATCCCTGGGAGGCCTGTCCTTTTCTGAAAGGAAACAGGGGGCGTAGATCTGGGGGGGAGGGGCTGTCAGGGATTGTACTAGGAGGAAAGGAGGGAATTTAGCCAGGATTATAATACATAAGAGAATAATGAATAAATGAATGATTAAATAAATAAATAAATAAATAAATAAATAAATAAATAAAATTAGCGTCAACTCTCTTGAGAAGCTCACATTCAACCAAAGGTGTGTGCACAAAATCTACTTAATAAAACTCAGTGGTGAGCCATGAAGTCACAGGCATACAAGTAATGTTATGTGACTTGAGAAGATTGTATTTACATATTTAGGAATATGTAACATCAATTAAGGAAGATATAGGTAATGAATGTGAGATGGAGCAAGGCAGGGGTATGTGATAGAGGTTAGAGAACCAAGAAAGGGGAAAATCACATAATTGTATTTTAATTTCAAAAAATTAAAAAAAAAAAACAAGAATATTTAGACTCTTCACCATGTTCAAAGTCCAGTCTTTTCTTGTAAACTGATTGGAGATATACTACATGAGTGTTCTATGTGCATGTATGTCTGTGCACCATCTGGTGTGCGTAGGGTCATTGAATACCCAGAAAGTGGAGCCATGGACAGTTGTGAGCCACCGTGTAAATGCTGGGGAATTGAATCTGGATCCTTTGCAAGAACAGCAAGTACTCTTAACCACTTAGCCCTCCCTCCAGCCCTGAAGATATGTTTTTATGGGAGCAATACAGTCTCAGTATTTTTGAGTGGTCTGTTTCTGTGGAAGGAAACTAAATATTGACAAATACATGTGGTGTCTGACTTTCTCCCAGAGCCGCATTGACGTGTATATAACACACAGTCTAGCAGGAACATCAGTTCAAACTCTTCTACATTATGCTCAGGTACAATTTTTTAAAATATGTCTCTTTCTTTTCTCCTGCTTTTGAAATTCTCCTCCTTTATAAGTTTCAGAAAATCTCTCTCCAGTTGGCTTTGTGGTCAGGGTATTACATCCCTGTAGCATGAATCTTAAAAGGTCTTATTAAGAGAAAATCCAGAGCTAGATATTGGGGTGAAAGCTAAAATATCAGAGAAGCAGAGCAAGCCAGCCACAAGTTCTTATCTCTACAAAATCCTCAGTCTAAAGAGAGCAAGTTCTTGTTTCTTCACGCTTTATATACCCTTCTGTGTCCTGCCATAGTACTTCCTGGGATTAAAGGTGTGTGCTACCACTGCCTGACCTCTAAAACTAATTTAGTGGCTGGCTCTGTCCTATGATCCCCAGGTAAACTTTATTGGGGTACACAATATATCACCACACATCCCTTTTGTTACATTAAAAGGAGTATATCAGTAAATAGGATCTTTGTAGGAAAATGTGATAAAAGCACAGTGGTTATATCATTTTATTCTCAAAGAAAAGGGCTTTCTATTCCAATAGGTAAATCTATATACATACATTTTATGTCAAATTAGCACCAGTTTTAGTAATTAATTTTATAGATTAGTGTAAGATGAGAACTGTAGGTGCCCTTAAGGTCTATGAGTAAAGTGTGATAGCTTCTCTATCTACTTATTCAAAAGAATCCCCTGTGTGACAGTGAAGACGCTCTACATGGAGTGAGGTCTTCATATAGTGTCATTTGACAAGAGGTAAACTGGAACCTGCACATAGGGAGCAAACCCATCTTATAAGGGTTTTTAAATTATTTTCTAACATATACTTTTAAAATTCTATACATAAACATAACTTTTGCATAAAATTTGTCTTCACTGACATGGTAAATTTTATTCTATTAGTCGATTACCAATAAATCAGTATATGTCACATCCTAAGAGATGTGTCTTTATAATGCTTTGCTGACAAAATTCTATTCCAGATTCTGCAACTCTCTTTAACATTTCCAGTTTGTTTATGTTACTTACTTCTGATCACTAGAATTCTCATTTTTTCTACATTTAGATACAGAGATTAGGCAACACTTATCTTAATATTTTTGAAAATTCTTGTGTAAATTTACAGAACTACTTAAATTAAATTATATATGAAGGATACAAATTTTGTTACATATAAAATATTAATGCAAATAGTAACGCACTAACACTGAAGTATATTTTGAATTCAATTGAATTATAGAGCAGTAAAGAAACTTTTACAAGTAGTAATTTGAGATTTCATATATTTGAATTTTCTAATAAGCATTAATTTAGATTCTTATAATTAAAAATATTTTATAATTAAAATATTTATAAGCTGATATTTACTACATACTACTAAAACTAAATATACCATAAAATGATGCATCAATTTTGCATACTTAAGCAATTAAGCTTTTTATTTCATGGATGATATATTCTCAGCTTCTTATGGGCTTTTCTGGCTGTGGAGTATGTATGAATTGATACATTTTAAATAATATTAAAATGTTCGCAAAGTATATTTTATTTGAGGTGTTATAAAAGTAAGTTTATATTTTTTGGTGGTCTTTTTATATATATTCATATAGTGTGCAATTTTCTAGGACTGTAATTTAGTAACCATTGATCAGGTAGTACATACCATTGAGACAGAAAATGTACTGGGTTTAATCAGAGCCAATGTGTCATTATTGTAAAATGAGGTAATAAAACTCAATAACTTCTGTTACTATTATAATATAAGGCTTTTTAAGTAATCCTATGTTTTATCTTTATTTAAGGCAATTAATAAAGGTGTATTTCAGGCTTATGATAGGGGAAGTCCAGCTCTAAACATGCTCCACTACAATCAGGTAAGTCTTTTCATCCAGTTTTAATGATCTGACCCTTACACAAGGCATATAGTATATGAAATCTAACCAAAGCCCTCTTTTTTTTTTTTTTTTTTTTTTTTTGGTTTTTCGAGACAGGGTTTCTCTGTGTAGCTTTGCGCCTTTCCTGGAACTCACTTAGTAGCCCAGGTTGGCCTCGAACTCACAGAGATCCGCCTGGCTCTGCCTCCCGAGTGCTAGGATTAAAGGCGTGTGCCACTACCGCCTGGCCAAAGCCCTCTTTTGAATAAAGGCACATTTTATTTTTCTTAGGAAGGTGGACTGCACAGAACTTTCAGAGGACTAAAAACAAATAGCATTATTTTTTATAAGATAATACTGTGAAAAACAATATCCTATCTATCATGTCATTTTAATGTCACAAAATTATATGGGATTTATCATTTAATGATATAGTCATTTCACATGTAAATCCAAGGTTCAGAGAATATAGGACTTACATGATTTCAAAATTAAATAACAGTCCACTTCAGTCTTTGTGAGGTGACACATCCTGGTAACCTCAGGATTAAGAATGCTGACTGCAGAGGATTCTGACAAGAATCCAGATTAGGAGAGAATAGAAAAGTTAGAAAGTAGCCATGTCCAAAACTAAAGTAAATAAATATATAAAAAATAGAGTCGAATTATTTCCTGACAAAGGCTGAGATCCTCAGTAATTTTTATGGACAGAATAAGCCCATCACTATTATTATCCTGTCAAGAAAGAGAATAACCCATCAGCAGTGTTACATTTTTTTTCTGTTACGTTCTTTATGATTTTCCATTAGACCACTCCTCCGGTATACAATGTGGAAGCCATGAAGGTTCAAACTGCCTTGTGGAGTGGTGGAAATGACTTTTTGGCTGATCCAAAAGACGTTGCAAATTTGAAACCCAAAATCTCTAACTTTATTTACGATAAAACTATTCCTGAATTTAGCCATCTTGATTTTATAGTGGGAATAAATGCTAATCATGAGGTTTCTCAGGAAATTTTAAAACTTATTGATGAATCTAAGTGAGATTGAAATTTTGCTTTAGTTTTCACATTTTTCAAACCCTTCTGAAAGTTTCTTGCTTTTATAAGTGCAAATATTATCTTTCTTGACACTTTTCTTCTTAATTATCTATGATTTTAAGCTATTACTTCATTTATTAGATCATTTGTATTAGTGAAAAATTGTGAACATCGAGAAAATAAATCATTTTGTGATGGTTTCTTAATTGATGTAGTTTTTAAAAATAGTTTGGCATGCACATTCTTGAAGAGAAGGCCTCCTTTTGATTTGAGGTAATAAAATGCTAAAACACTGAAGCAGGACGAGGCCAGGCCAATAGTGTGATTGCAGATATTATGCTGTCTTGAGAGCAGACTGTAAAATGTTTCACACATTAGGACCAAGACTCCGTAAGAACAATTAGTCTTGTTGCTTAGAATCCACAAGTCTTTTTTTTCTTTTTCTTATTAAGAATTTTTTTTCATTTTACACACCAATTAAAGATCCCCCTTCCCCTCCTCCTGCTCCTCCCCAGCCTTCCCCCCCAATCTACCCCCCATTCCCCTCACAAGAAGTCTTATTCATTAGTCTATGGAGGCCCACAAAGATTCCTAGTGAGATCTGAGCTTGCTTTACCCAGCAGAGCTGCATTAGGGGATGGCTTGACCATGTGTGTGGTTACCAGGTATTTGGAAGGGTCTGCACTTGGCTGTGCTGAGGACGAGGTTTTTGGCTCCACCCCTTGGCATTCCTTTAAAAAGTCCTTTAGAAGAGACAGAAGGGACCGGTGGATAAGGATCCAAGTCCTCCTAAGGCTATCCTGTGTTTCTGTCTTTTTCTCTCCCCTCTATCCTATCTAAATCTCTTGTCCCTCACTCCTCAAGAGTACCCTGGGCGGGGGGGGGGAGACAGGTCTCCCACACTAGTCTCAGTGCAAATTCCCCAGTCACACTACCTGTGAGGACCAAGCACTGTTTTGAATAAGTCACTCTGTCAATATTCTCTGGTTTGAGAGGAAGAAGAAAACACTTCAAGTGATCTGAGCCATTGACAGATAATTTTCAGCATTGATAATTCATGGAAGGTGCTGAATAATGTGATTAATAAAATATTATATATATATATGTATATGTATATTATATATGGTCTGGTACTCTCCTTGCAACCTAAACTGACTGAAAATTCAGTGTGTGTGTGTGTGTGTGTGTGTGTGTGTGTGTGTGTGTGTGTGTGTGCGTGTTAAGATATGTTCCTTCTATTCCAAGTTTCTTCAGGACTTTCATTTGATTAAATGTTGGATCCTTATGAAAATCCTTTTCTCCATCTATTTATGATCATATAATTCCTGTCCTTTAGTCTATTTATATGATTATGCATTACATTTATTGGCTTGGAATATGTCAAACTATCCTTGTTATTTCTGGAATAAAGTCACCTTAATGATAAGTAAGTTTTGCTCCTTGAAAGTATTATTTTTATTTTTATTTCATACATTACATCCTATTCACTGTTTCCCCTCCCTCCAGTCCTCCCAGTCCCTCCTATCCCACTTTTTTTCTCCCTCAGATCCACTTCTCAGAAAAGAGCAGGCCTCTCAGGGACATCAACAGAACACAGCATAAAAAAGTACAATAAGACTTGGTACAAAAATCATCCCGAGTGAGGTAACACAGACCCAGAAAGAGATACATGGTATGACTCATTTATAAGTGGACATTAGTTGTTAAGTATGGGATAATAATGATACAATCCCCAGACCTAGAGAGGCTAAGTAACAAGGAGGGCTCTGTGGAATAGCGCATGGATATCCCTGGAAATGGGAAATAGAATAGATTTTGCAGGTGTACTGGGGTCAGGTTGGGATAAAAACAGCAGAGATGAGGGGAATGGAGAGAGAGAGTACTGGGAAAGATAACTGAAATCTACAAGAGAGAGCCTAATGAAGAGTCCTAGTAATGAGGGATACAGAGCCAAAAGAGTCATCTTCTGTAGCCAGGCAAGGCTTCCAGTAGAGGGATCAGGACACCAACCCTACCACAAAACCTTCATCCTACAATTTGTCCGGCATACAAGATATGCTGGAGTATTGATGGCACAGAACTCGATGGAGTAGCCAATCAAAGAGTGAACCAACTTGAAGTCCACTCCAAAAGAGGGAGCCCATGCCCGACATGCCTGGAGGTCCAGGAACCAGAGGCTGGATAGCCCAAAGACCTAGCATTGAACCAAACATGACAAGGGAAAAAGTCAATGAAATGATTCCGAAAGATATTCTAGTATATTCATGGGTGCCGAACGCAACCATCCAGCAACCACTGGGAGCAGATGCAAAGACCCACAGCCAAACATTAGAAGGTGGGGGGAGGGAAGTAGTACAGGAACCAGAGGGGTTGAGGACAACATCAAAACATGGTCCACAGAATCAACTAACCTGGACTCATAGGGGATCTCAGAAACAACTGAAAATCATGGACCCTAGATGGGACTGAGCTACGTCTTCTGCATATATGTTATGGTTGTGCAACCTGGTGCTCTTGTGGGACTCCTAACAGTGCAAGTGTGACTGCATGTGGAAGAGGGTGTCTCTCTGACTCTTTTGCCATCCTTAAAAGTTAAGTTTTTCAAGTATTTTCATTGAGAAAATTTTCATCTGTGTTCATCAGGGAGTTTGAGCTATAACTTTCTTCTCCTTGTGTCTTTATCTGGTTTGAGTATCGGGATAATATGGCTCCATGAACATAATCTGTCAGTGTTGTAAGTGTTCTACTTTCCTATTTTATGGACCAGTATGAGAACAATTGGTGGTAATTCTTCATTGTTGAGCTGATGGAATTGAGTTATGGGTCCATTTAGCTGTCTAATGAGCACTTTATTTTCTTTAGAGTTTAGAGAATTTTTAGTAATGCTCCAGTCTATTTGTTACAAATTTATTTAAATCATCTCATCTTGGTTTAATCATGGTTGTTTATGTGCATCTGGAAAATTATCCAATTCTTACAGAATTTTTTAATTGACTGGAATATAGGCCTTTAAGGAACACTCTAGAATTTTTTTTTTATAAATTTCATTGGTATCTGACATAAATGTCTCTTTTATTTGTATATTTATTGATTTAGTCTCCCTCCTTCTCTTAATCATTTCTTCTACCTGCTAATTTGAACTTGGGATGCTCTTGTTTTCCAAGTGGCTAACACTGTTGAATCATTTTATTGAAAACTCCCTTCTTTCTTCATAGAGGTCATTAAAGCTACGACTTCTTTCATGATGGCTTTCATCATATCACACCTGTTTCAGCGTGTTCTGTACTCATTTCAATTCTCATAAGTGATTTCTCACTTTCCTTCTTGATTTTATCTGACATATTCATTCAATAGTGTGGAACCTGATTAATCTCCATGAGTTTCTGTGTGTTCTATAGCTTCTTTAGCTGTTCCACTGAATGATATAGAAAACAATTATTTCCCTTCTTCTTATATTTGTTATGACTTATTTCATGACATAATATGTGATCTATTTTAGAAAACATTCTATAGGCTGATAAGAAGAATGTATATAGCACATTTTGGGATGGAATATTCTTTAGAGGTCTGCTAAGTCTAGATGTCATTTTACTCTGACATTCCTTTTATTTTCTGCCTGGATGACCTTTCAACGGGTTAAATGAGCTATGGAAATCACCTCCTATTATTGTATAGATGTTCACACATGACTTTCCATTCAATAGTATCTCATGTAATTTAGTGTGCCTATGTTTGGCACATATATGTTTAGAATTTTAATTTATTCTTGATGGGTTGTTACTCTAATGAATATGAAGTGTCTCACCTTCTCACTGTTGACTAGTTTTAGTTTGAAGTCTACTTTGTCAGATACTAGAAAAAACGTGTCTGCTTTTATCTGAGTTTCAGCTTTCACCCTAAGGTAATATCTGTGCTTTATAAAATGCATCTCTTGGAGATTAAATGGATAGATCCTACCCTTTAAGTCAATTCTATTATTCTCTATTTTTAATGTTGAAATAAAGTCCACTGATATTCACTTATAACTGAAAGACAAAAATTATTCCCTATCATTGTTGATTTTGTAGTGTTTCCTAATCCTCTTGCTAAATAATTATTCAAACATTTATTCTTTCTTGTGGCTTTATACATGCATCTGTCTCTTTTTTCAGTATGAAGAATTCCTTCAGTATTACTCTACAGATGCAGCTTAATAATAATGAATTATCTAAGACTAATTTTACTGTGGGAATTTTTCCTTACCTTTCAATTATGATAGCCTGTTGGATATAGTAATCTTAATTGAGGTTTCTTTCAGAATTTGACCATATGTTTTTATAAATGCCTCAATCTTTTGACATTTCTATTGAGAATTCTTATGGAACTTGTGCAATATACTTACTTTGTTCTGAATATTTAACAACTTAGTCATGCTATTATGGGAGAGTTGTCTCCTCAATGTCAATTTAGGGTTCCCCAATATCTGTAGTATCTGTAATGACATATATTTAATTTAGAGAATTTGGGGTTATAATTTTATTGATACTGTTTTCTATTCTTTAGAATGAAATTCTTTCATCTGAATACAAGATCCTTTTTAATTTTTAAAATCATTTTAATTTATGTGTATGGATGTGTTACCAGAATGTATGTCTGGCACCAAATGCTGGCATGGTGCCCAGAGAGACCATCCAACCAGAGTTACAAATGGTTATGAGCAAACATCTTTGTGCTAAGAATTAAACCCAGGTTCTCTGAAAGAGAAGCTAGTGCTCTTAACCTCTGATATATCTCTTTAGTCCCATAATATACAAGATTCTTAGATTTTATTTAAATGGTGTATTGCATATCCAGAAAATCCTATTTGTACCTTCTTAATAATTTATATTTTCTTCAAGCTGAGATAGTCTGTCCTCTCCTTGAACTAGTATATTAGTGAAACTTTCCAGGATCTTTTGATTCAACTTACTGTGTTGTTCATTTCCATTATTCCCGCTTCACTTTTCTATTTCTTTATTTAGTTCCATTTTTATATCATATTTAGAATTTCTTGTTTCCTTAAGTTGCTTGTGTACTTTTGGAATTAGTTCA